AAAGCAGGTAAACCCCCAGTAGATCGACACTAGTAAGAGAGTAAATGCCTTGTTTCTCCCATGTTGTTAAATTACCACATTTACTATCCCACTGCCACCACTGTCGCTCAAGGTGCTCCAGTGAACGGGTGTCACGCAAAGTTTCAATTGCGTATGACAACTGATCACGAAGAGGTGAGTCTTTCTGGACGGCTAGGCCGTAGCTGTTTCGTGAAATAAACCCACCAGTAACGTACAAGTTACATGGTTCTGCCTGGTCAGCCTGGTAACGCAAGATACCAGTTTCATCAATGAATGCATAATCTCCGTTTGACTCACGTACCCTTTTGATACCTTCGCTGACGTTCGCCACAGTTGGCTTTGGAATCGTGTTCTCGACAGTGCTATACATCTGCTGGAAATCAGGATTTGAAGAATTCTTCAAAAAGTAGTATACAGAGCCTTCATCAACAACGCCATATTTGATTTCATATTGCTCAAGGAGATCTTCTGCAGAACGAATTGTTGCGAGACGTTTAGATGCCGTAAGCCAAAAGGTAAGATTAGTCAAGTACAAGAATACCATAATGACAACAAACACCCACCAGAATCCAGCAATTACTCGACCTGCAGTTGATCTTGGAGACGCGTCATAACTTTGGAACACAAGCGTAGAGGCAGAGAACCAAAGAGAATTCTTGAAATTGAAGTTGTCTACGTTCTCACCGAATGTTTCGTGTCGTTCCACGGCTGCCTTCCACTCGTATGGGTTGAAGGAGTTGATGGCCCATAGGACTGCGCTCACCATCAAGAAGCAGATGGCATTTAGGAACCAGACCTCAATTCCGAAGGGATACATGAAGGCGAACGGATCATCGAGGACATGATTTGGATGTTTAATGAGAATCTGGAGACCGCTGTGCATGAATGGGTAGCTGAAATCAACAGCTTGGTTGCGTTCAGTCGTTATGGAAACTGGTCCGGCTGCAATATCAGCTTTCTGTGGAGTACAGAAATGATCTTGTATTATATTTATAATACTCAATATTCATTTTTAACCGTCTCACTACCATCGCTTATAAATAAAAAGTATTGGCTCATTTATTTTTTAATTTTGTGTTGACCACTGATTGTGAAAAACACTATTTATTGAAAAATAATTGATTGCAAAAGTTTCAGATTTCTTACCCTCCGAACAAGCTCTCCAATCATACCGTCCCATTCGTTACTGTACTCATCTCGCCTACCGTATTTACCGTCGGCCACCAATTCCACCTCGTATTCAAAGTTAATGCCCTTCACAACTCGAGCGATCTCCTCTAAAAGATCCATGATGTAGCCTCTAAAACGTGCGTTTCCACGGTAGCGATCTGCATTATCTCTGTACATCAAGAACGGAGCTTGCTGTAAAATAAAACCAAATACATGCAACAGTAGCCTATAAAGACATTTTGTTATAACGTTCAACACAGCAAGCACAATTCCATTTACAGGAGGCCAATATGAGGAATTATCTGCGTTGCTAAGTAAAAGCTAAATTGTCATCAACAATCGTACAATTAGTCAAACTTACATATTGAGAATACTTGTATATAAAAATACCACATCGGACAAATTGCGTAGGTGATAAATAATATGGGGGAAAAAAACTTTAAGACATCATACTTGGAGCAATCATGTGCGTTACTGGTACGTTAAAATAGTATTCGAAAGGAATCTTAAATCCTTTATTCTTTTAGTCCTTTAAGACACAATATACTTTGTAGGACTTATTCTTCTTATGATATATAACACTTTTCTTCAGCCATTATTGTTTATACGTTTTAAAAAGATTTTGAACCCAATCTGAATTTTATTAGGCATTAACAATATTCTCAATGGACTTACATGTAGAAAAAGGTTTAAAAAAATCCATCTGAAGTATTTCAATATATTAAATTATTTATACTGTAAGCATAATGGCTAAAAAAAAC